CTGTGTCTTTTCAAACCTGTGTCTTAAGTAACAACCCAAACACACCCAGTTACAATCCAGCTGCACAACGGACGGCACTACAAAATGAAATCTGACATTCTATACTAATTATTGGAACTTTATTATTCTGATTCTCAATTTACTAAGAAGTATGAGCTGTCTATTTTGACATGACTGATAGTGTAGTAAAGATATTATCATGAGAGGTAAAAGTCGTTATAATCCTCTGTCATAAGTGGCAAATATCGACTTATTCATGTCACCAATTAATAGAACCGCAGACATCGAAGGCATCAAGGTATCAGGGATCAGAACAAAAAGGTTATCAAGAAAAAGTGTAGAGATAATTTTATTTCTGCCTCCTAACAAAGTTCATTCATTCTCTCTGTGACTATATATATACAGGTTATCCCAAAATTTATGTAAGATTTGAATTCCTAAACATCCTAAATTGTCTGGAATATCTGGTAATGAAAGAGCTCGCTTTCTTTAAAATGCATCTTTTGGCTTGGTGTTCGGGAGAGGGGGAGTGAGTATACCAAATTGTTTTCTAAAGCAAATCTTCTCGTACCCTTTGTTAAAAGCATTACTCCTTGATTGAATTTTGGGACACCCTATATGTAAATCTTTACGTTCTAAAATGAAGAGGTCTTAGTATGTAAGAAAGATATCTCTGAAATTTATTTACTAGTTTGCAATCAATTGTCAATATTTGTATTATATTTGTTCACGCATTTCGGGATCATGAAGGGATATATTTTGCAAAAACGGCTATAAATGGGTATTCACTCTTTCAAGTTAGTGAAACAAATTTGTTTAAAAATAACAACAAATGTGTTTCACAATAACAACAAATGTTCTTCACAATAACTACAAATGTTCTTCCCAATAACAACAAATGTTCTTCCCAATAACAACAAATGTGCTTAACAATAACAACAAATGTGAATAACAACAAATGTGATTGGCAACCATTCTTAAATGCACTTGGCGTCATGTGACATTATACATTTCTATGTAAAAACATAATATCGTCAATGAACTTTACAAATGTTCATTCTCAACCAATAAATATGTTTCGCACAGAACATTGATTTAATTACTTACAATCATTAAGTTCCATTGGAATTTTTCACTCATGAAAATTTTTTATTAGCTTAAACTAGTTCAATGGCCCTGTAAAATAAATTTTTGAAAGAAATTGACGAATGCCTTGAAAATGATTCAAATCTGACGGATTAGCTGACTTTTTTATTCCTTATGACAAGATCATTTCGGTACCACCTTTGTCTAAATTGGCGTGTCATAATTGGTACTATTCTGTAGTCGGTCTTATTTATTCTTACATGGAACAACCCAGTTACAGAAAATAGAATATTAGTTCTCATTCGATTGCAAAAGAAAAAAACAAAATATTTTAATACTAGCTCACTTTAAATCAATCATATCGTTCGTTATCCTCAAATCGGTAAATATTATGATGATAGCGAACTGCTAACTTCCATATGAGCTCCAGCAGACGAATGTGAAACTCGTGCATTTAAAAATAATCTCAATCGCAAGTGTGAAACATCTAATAATGATTAAAAATAAAAAAATATGTAAATTCAAGTAGTAAAGCCTGCAGGAACCAAATACGAAATTGAGAATGATTTTTGAATACCTAAAAGGAGGAATGATAACATAAAGATGAATTTCATAAAGATGATCATTCCTTATTCTTATATACAATATTTGGAAATAACCGAAAAGAGTTTTAAAGAAAGACAGATAACGTGATTAAAAAAATTTAAGAAAGATTCGATAGGTAAAAAGAAAAAGATTGAAAAAAATTATTGTGAATAATTGGTAATAAAAAAAATTGGAAATATTGGTAGCGTGAACAATAAAAAGAATTATTTAATTGTTTATTAAAAATATTTTATTAGAATTTTTCAGTATTTTTTTCTATATATCAGATAAAACACTAATAAATTCAAGGAAAAAAGATTGGTTTCTAAATTTTACAGTCGGCAAATGTTATATATTTATATATATATAATCCCCTTTGGGTCTGGACTTGAGTAGTCCCACTGTAGTTCATGCAAGTCGTAAGAAGCGACTAAAATGGGTACCCAGTGTCCGTGGGTATAACTGGGTGAGGTAAAGATTCATAGATGATATAGATGATGTCGGTATAGATGTTATTGTAGTCCGACTGGTATAAGAAACAATAACTTATAAACATATATATGCTATATCTTATATTATTGCCTTGCTTGGCATGTATCTTTTGTTATCTTTATTTATATAAATTCAGTTATACAAATTCTAGGAATCAAGACTAAAGGAAAATTTACTGTGACTACTTCTGAAAAGTTTGTTTACATCTAATTTGTTATTGAAATATACCAAGCTGGATTTCATTGGTTTCTTTGCGGAATATAAGCTTTTAAGCAATGCAAAAACAAATTTAATTTCAAAAGAACTTTACTAAATCATTAAGTTTTTAAGAAGAAACAATACGTCCTGTCCGAATCATTAGCTAACGGGGTGGTGCAGATAAGAAAAATGTCTTTATGCCATGAAGCTCTTGGAGATATTTTATTAAGTTCATTAAATGATGATTTTTTAGATACTACTTTTGGCTATATCGTGCCAAACTGCACACTTTCTAAAAGAATCGTTTAATATTCTTTTGCTAATTGTTTCTAGAAGCATCACCAAATTTGTTATAAAGATTACTAAATTTGTAGATGAACTGGAGAAGCTTTTATTCATTTGTCTCAAAATGGCCTGGTGGCGTAATTTTGCAAAACTTTCTTTTTTTGATAATTTAACAATTTTTTTACAAATTGAATTAATTTACCAATTTAAGAATTAATATTAATTTACATATTTAGAGAAAAAAATCTGTTATCTATAATAATATTTCATTAAGGAAAAAATATTCTGATTTGAAATCAAGTTTACTTCATATTAAGTCCATTTAACTAATTGCATAAAACATGACTTCGTGGACACTAAAAACTGTAATAAAAATGGTTGATTAAGCTTTGGAATATAAAACATTTAATGTTTCACCTCCATGAAGGGCAGAAGAAACCTTAAAAGTGTAACGCGCTAACAGAAACAAATTGTTAGTTTCCTCCAAAGGCCATTACATCATTTTATGTAGAATTTTACGTATTTCACCCAAAAACATTAAAAGTTTTATGCACTCCCTAAACCTGACTTTTTTGTGCTCTGAGTCAGCACTTAATTTTTTAACTCATTTTTCTTCTCTTATAGTTAATTGCATGAGTATTTTTGTTAAGTAATAGAAATCTAGTTAACTAAATATAACTGTTTTGCATTTAAGCAAATATACTATTGTGCCCAAAAAGTAAGACCAATTATTTTTTTTCCAAAAACTCTATATTTATTCTTCCAGATTTATTATTACTCTATATTTATTCTTCCTTTTTTTCCAATCCTCAATGCATGCTAAAAAGTCATCTGTAGGGATGGCCTTCAAAGCGCGAGCCGATTCACATCTCTTCATTCGACTCCAAATGGTGTCCGCGGAGTGGTCTTTTGAGTTTAGGGAACAGCCAGAAGTCACACAGTGTAAATACGGTGGTTGTGGGTGTTGTTCGTTTTTGGCGAAAAAATCACGAAGAATCATTGCAGTGTGAGCTGACGCATTCAGAGTTTTCGGTACCAATCGAAACGCGGTACCAATTGACGCGTTTGAGACCCAAAATGGAATTGACCGATCCTTTTGAAATTCCAACATTATCAGCAAGGTCTCTAATTGTAAGTCTATGGTTTGCAAGCACCAAATCAGTAAAAATATAATAAATCAGTAATCAGTATCAATAATTTTGTGGATGTGAGCTTCGTCTGCTGAGGTTGAGGGTCGACCAGAGGGCTCTTGGTCTTCAAAGCATTCTCTGTCTTCTTTGAACTATTTATACTACTTGTAAACATTTCTTTCCGATATAGGAATGCTCACCGAATGCCTTCTGCAGCATTCTATACGTTTTCGCAAAAAAAAAAAATTTAATGCGAGTTCTTTGCTCAATTAATTCAGACATTTTGAAAATCGCGAGAAAGCACAAATTCAAGCATAACTCAAACAAAAATGGATATTTTGAGGTACAAAATTTCACACAGATGTCAAGGACAGTTCCAGCAAACTAAAATAGAAAAAAAAATTGCAATTCCATAAGTCCCGGAAAATTTAAATTTTAAATTGCTCTTACTTTTTGGACATAATAGCATATAATGAGGTTGAATAAACTTCTGTTTATTTTAAATTCTGGAATTGAATTAATAAATTTTCTAAAATTGTATTAAAATCTCATGACTGTATTACTTAATAGGTACAAGTTGGTTTTCAAAATCAAGGCAGAAGCGGAAGTTCCTGGGTCTATCCAATAGAAAGGGTATGATAGATATGTAGATATGTAAATCCTTCCATTGATATCTATTCCTGAGGATGTTCTTTCCGGACTTTGGTGGCATCTGGACATAATATAGTAGCCTATTCCCTCATAATAAACCATCGGTAACTTTAAATCTACTATTTTTCTGAGTATGTAGAGATAAATAATCCATACCAAAATTCAGGATATTTTGTAGAACAGAAGAATTTGTTAGAAGAATTAATTGAAGAACTAACAATTTTGCAAAGTTTCCTTTTAACAATTCTTTTAAGATTTATACTTTTTTCATTATTTATGCATAATTAAATTTCTGTTGCACACTGAGTACCATTTTTACCATGTACCATGTTTACTGAGTACCATTTTTAACAAATAATAATCATGATTATATAAATGAGAATCATTTATGCAAATATTGGTGGCTTCTACGAAACTCTTTAAAACAATTTCTATGAAAAGATGGTAGTTTACATTTTGAAATTCTATTTAATGTAATGTACTAAATTAATTCTAAAATTCTAAAAAAAAAGGAGGCAGAAGAGAAAATTCCCGTATCTATCAAATTGAAAGGGTAGATATGTAGATCCAGCCAACGGCCATACCATGCTGAATATACCGGTTATATACCTATGCTGAATATATCTCGTTAGATCACCGAAGTCAAGCATCATTGGGCACGGTCAGTACTTGGGTGGGTGACCACCTGGGAACACCGCGTGCCGTTGGCATTCACAAATTTGGGACCTGAATGGCCGAGTGTCTAGCGCTCTGGCGCTCGGCGGTGCCATGGATGTTTGTAGTGGTTCGGAATCCACTTTAAGCCATAGGTCCCGGTCTCCCATGACTGTAAGAGCGTCACGGAGCCAAAGTCAGACTTCTACCTACGGGTTCTCCATCACAATAGAAGTTGCTTCCTTCCCCTTCAATCATGAGTACGATGGGCTCGTGGGCTTGGCCAGCCAAGTGGGATAAGAAACAACAACAACAGATATGTAAATCCTTTCATTGGAAAGGGCTGATTGGAAAGGCCAGAAGCTGTTCTTTCCGTACTTGGTGGCATTTGGCATAGTATAGTATCCTTTTCCCTCATAGTAAACCATTGGTAACTCTAAACCTGCAACTTATCTGCGGGTGTAGAGATAAATAACGCAAGCCATAATTCATGATATTTTGTAACAGTGCAATTAAAGAACTAGCAATTTTGTGATGTCTACTTTTAACAATTATTTTAAGATTTATATTTATATTCTTCTTCTTATTATTATTGTTTGTGTATAATTATATTTCTGTAGTTCACGTCTGTTTACTTAGTACCATTTTTAACAACAAATAATAACTATGTTTATATAAATGAGAACCATTTATGCAAATATTGGCGACTTCTAAGACACTCATTAAAACAATTTATAAGGAAAGATGGAAGTCTATATTTGAAATTCTATGTAAAGTTTTCCATAACTTAATGTTTAATAATGCAATCAGATTTTGTACCACCAAGAATATATTTTTATCAAAGATTCCTTGGAAATACAATAAAATCTATGAACATGAAAAACCGGTAGACTTCAGTTAAATGCGTATTTTCACTTTTTCGCGCTAGTCATAACAATGATAAACGTCATCTTTATCGTTTGTAACTTAGATATAATCCAGTAGGTCAAAATTATTTCTTAGGATGGCAGGAATGATGTCTGCAGATTTACAAGAGTAATTTGATTGCATTAACAGATACAGAAAAGAGACACAGTTCGAGAAATCCCAGACATTCTTGTAGTCGCTGCTTTCAAAACTAGGATAGTTCATGGCGCTTATGTAATGTAAATGTATGTAAAGCACCTCTCATTAACAGTCAACCGGTCTGGGGGAGTTTTTCAGGTTTTCTCCTATATAACACACTAATGCGGGGCCTGAATGGCCGAGTGGCGAGCGCTCTGGCGCTCGGTACCACAGGTTTCGGGTTCGAGTCCCAGCGGTGCCATGGATATTTGTAGGGGTTTGGAATCCACTTTAAACTGTAGATCCCGGTTTAATAGGATCGTAGAGCTATGCGGGGACATTGTTAAGGCTCGTTCCCACCGAGGCGAGAGACGTGAAGATGCAAGAGGCAAGCGACCAAATTTTTTCGACCCCTTCACAGCGAAACGTCAGAAATAGCATTACGCATAGTGAAAAACCGCTTGGAGTTGAAAGTTGGGCTACTCCACGCGGCGAACTGCAAACCGGTTTCAGACGACCGCGGTGAGGTCAAATTTTGGTCGCTTGCATCTTGTCGCCTTGGTGAGCACGAGCCTTTACTCCTTGTCCGGGGCTTATCTTCAAGTTATACGCGCCCCCTGGGTAATGCAAAGTGAGTAACGTCTGAGCAGCGCTTGCCTTAAGGCATCCAAGACCATGCTGTTTGCCAGCTGCATTAGAAAGAAAAAACACACTAATGCTGGGCAGTTCCCCCTAAAAGTTATTGCGGAAGGCATTGTCGACATTCGTCAGTGAGCTGTTCGTGGTATAAATGCATACCACTGCTGTTCCATTCTCACCTAATAGGGGGCAACATCGCCCTAGGAGAAGGGGGTGAGAAAGACAGTAGAACTGTGAAAGGCCAAAAGTGATCGCGATTTAAAGATATATATATACAAGAAAAGTTAGTTTTTGTTTCGAAGGGAAGATAGTATACATATGAAGAGAACTATGACAGTTAACGTGAGTGTTGTGTTAAATATGGCATTATTATTTCCAATAATGTTGCCATATAGTAATGAGTTACAAGGTAAAAATCTTCTATCGCTATAAATTTTTTCTCATAAATTAAAAATAATAATTTAATTATTTTATTAAATTAATCTTATTTAATTAATTTTCCAACATCATGTGGTGTTTCAAATGTACTATTTTTTAACATTAAGTAAAAATTGTGTTAAAATTTTAATGAACAAAACACATCACAACTAAACTATTTTGTATAAACATAAAATAAAAATCTTATACATACGTAAAACTTCTTCTGTGTCTATTCCTTATTCTTTACATAAATACATGAGTTGTTTTGTATGATCTTTTATTGCTTGGATTTTATTTTAAAATTTAATCTTTTCTAAAATCAAGGTAACACTAATAAATATCAACATAAATATTGCTATATAAATTGTGCAATACTTAAACTAATTGACTGTTTTTAATATAATTATAACTAATATATATCTTCACAACAAATTTTTAAATAATAAAATAATATTTCAGTCTGCTAAAGAATATTTCTTATTTCTTTTTTTATGGTGCTGCAGTGTAATATTAAAAATAACGTGTGCTTTGATCTTTAATTTCAAAATATCTTTTGTGATATATCTTGATCTTATTTCTGAAAACAAATGATTCTGAGAACTGATATTCAGTTTATTGTTGATTTATTTTCAAATATAAAAAGTTTTCAATTGTATGAAGTGAAATTGAATATAATACGTACTTCCAAAGTTCTATATTTAGAAGCTATTCAGTAATTTGTTTGTTTTATTCTGCATATGATCGAAATTCAATGAAAAAGCTTTTTCATTTTGTTTGCTGCAGTTTCATAAGCAAACAATAATATGCATTGAATAGAAATAGATGGATATTAAGGGGAATCTTAAAATGAGAATCCATATAAATTGGAAATAGAAACTAAATAAAATGAATATAAAAATATCCAAAGTAAGATGTCTGTAGGCTTCCAAAGTTATTATAGGAATAAATTTTAAAGTTCAGCAAATTTTTGCAATAACAAATGATAAAAACAATTTACTTTTAATCTGTAACAGTATATTGAAAAATACATTTATTAAATTTTTTTTAAATTATATGTTTTTCCTAATTTTAGTTAAAATATAAAAAATGTGTTTGTGTTAAAAAAAGTCTAATTTAATAACTCTGTAAAAGAATTAAATAGTATCAATTTTCCTTTTTCTAAATACTTCCTAAATATATAGTTGTGCTATTTCCTAACAATCTAAATATTTCCTAAATATATAATCATGATATTTCCTAATTATATAATTATGATATTTCCTAATTATATAATTATGATATTTCCTAATTATATAATTATGATATTTCCTAACAATCTAAATATTTCCTAAATATATAATTATATTTCCTAATAATCTAAATATTTCCAAAATATATAGTTATGATATTTCCTAATAATCTAAATATTTTCTAAATATATAATTAGTATATTTCCTTATAATTTAAATATTAATTAATATAACTAACGTGAAATTGATTTTAATTAGTTTAATTGTTTAATATTAATTAATATAATTAACATGAAATTGATTTTAATTAGTTTAATTGTTTAATATTAATTAATTACTCATATATTAATTTAATATTTATTAGCATACTAAATTAATAAATTGTAGATATTTATCTAAAATTAAGAAAAATTTTAATAATTAATTTGTACTATCAATATAATATGTATATAATAATTTTCCATTAATTTGAAAACTTTAAAGAATTTATAGTTTTACACAATATTTGTTCTTACCTAGTGAACGGAGGTTGAATTAATGAACAAATTGTTCCATAACACAATTTAAAAGTTAATGTAAGTAATTGAATCCATAGATCTGATCCAGCTTTTAGCCTATTAAGAGCTTTGAATCATCTATCTACTAAATACCAAGTTTAAATATTTTTATTGAAAACTAAATATCAATTAATTAGTGCAATAATGTTTTACATTGAATTACAGGTTATCTACACCTTAGAGAACAATTAGACTTATTTGTATATTTAGTTTATTTAAATAAAAATAATTTTGCTCTAATTGTAGTATAAATGTTTATTTGTTGAAGATTTTTACTAAGTATAAAATCCCACAATTACGGAAAAGTATGCCAAACTTATAATATTATATTCTAATTACTTTTAGTTCTTTAATTTTTCTGGAATTATGCATTCCAAACTATAGGCGGCAATTCTGACATACAAATTACTTGTTAAAAACTAGAATATTTCAATAAACTAAGGTCTCGACCTCCTTTTTTTTACTTATATGCAGTTCCTACTATTATTATAGTCTTCTGAGTCTACTGAGATCTTGCCGAAGTTCTGTTTACTGTCAAATTGAAGTTTCGCCAGTCTTCTACTTTATTACAAAGCTTCTATCAAACTGTGGTTTCTTCCGTAGAAGAAATATGGATCTACTTAGGATATATATGGATCCTCCGTTATATGGATCTACTTAGAAGTCTTCTCGCATACTGATGTTTCATGAGTCTTCTAACTGTTTATAAGTTTTCTGTCAAATGTGGTCTCGTTGATGTTTTGTCTACAAATCTTAGGTCAAAAAAGGTCTCGTCAGTGCTCTACCTGTTTACAAGTCTTATGTCAAACTGAAATCTTTTTTGCCGAACTGAGGTCTAGTCTGTGTTCCACTTGTCCAGACTTTGTCCACTTGTCCAGTCTGTGTTCCACTTGTCTAGTCTGTGTTCCACTCCAGACTTTTGTTCCACTGAAGTTTTGTTCCAGTTCTGTTTGCAAGTATTTTATAAAATTGAGGTCTCATCCATGTTTTGTCTATGCAAAAGTCTTCTGTCAAATTTAGCTCTCAGCCATGATCTGTTTACAAGTCTTCTATCAAATGAAGTCTGGTTGTTGTTCTATCGTCTGCAAGTCTTATGTCAGAAAGGTGTCGTCAGGGCCGCTTACAATTCTTATACCAAACTAAGATCTCTTTTGTCGAATTGTG